AAACCAACCTAACTACTAACTAATATAATATACTATTATTATTATTATATATACTATATATATATAATAATAATATATATATACTATATATATAATAATATATATTATATATATATACTACTATATATATATACTACTATATATATATATATATATATATATATGAATATGTTTGTATATATGTTTATACATTTATAGATATGTGTACATACATATGAAGAATGGTATGTATTTATTATATACATACATACATACATACATACATATATATATATATATATATGTTTATACATTTAGAATATATGTATATACATATAAAGAATGATATGTAACATATATATATATATATATATATCATACACACGCACACACATATATATACATATGTACCTATATACATTCGTATAAATAAGTAAGTCTAGATAGAAATCTAAATCTAAATACAAATCTATTTATACAAAGATAAATATATAAATATGTATATATATAAATATGTATAAATCGAAATATTATAATTTATATATATATATATAAGAAAATAGAAATACCAAACACACGGACACATACACATATACATATATATACGTATATATATTCATATAAATAAGTATCTAAATCTAAATCTAATCTAAATCTAAATATAGAAATATATATATATATATGTATCTGCATATGGTTATATATATATATATATATATAAATAATAAATATCATACACACGCACATACTCACATATATATACATGTATATACGTATATATTTTATATAGATAAGTATATAAATCTAAATCTAAATCTAAATCTAAATTTTAATCTATATATATATACTCATTTTGTATGCAATGTACTTTTGTCTGTTTTCCTACATGTATGTATGTATGTATGTATGTATGTATATATGCATATATATTTATGTATGTATATATATATATAAATATATATATATATATATATATATATATTAGGTAATATAGATATGTATACATACACATATCATTTATTCATATATATGTAGTATATATATATATATATATATTATACATATATATGTATATGTATCTGTATTTATACATACATACATATATATATATATATACATATATATATATACATAAGTACAGATACATATACATATATATGTATATAAATATATATATATAATTAACAAAAAATAAACGATACCGCCGTAAGTTCCTCGATATCTGTATCTTGCACATACCTGATTGACTTCCTCCTCTCCTAGTAGTAATTGCTCGTTGTGTAAGTCACCAATTTCTGTAGTCAAGTGGCGCACATACTCATGACCCCAGTCCGCCAGTGACCCCTGCATACCCAATAATCTATAGTTCAAACAATCCTTTTCCTTCGATTCCGTAGCTGTCATGGCTAGCACTGACACAATGTCTGCAGTTAATTTCTTGTCATTCTCATCTGTGATCTTCTCGTGCGCCGCTTTAATCGCTGTGAAGTGTGGCTCTAAGAACTTCAAAGGCTTAGGGACAGAGGTCATGCCGGATGTTGCTGTTTGGATCGAATCTTTGAGCTTGTTCAAAGCTTCTTTGTACTGCTTGGCATCATCACCGTTTAATTTCTCCATGCACAATTCCAGGGTTTCTTTAAGGAGGCGATCTTCTTCATTGAGATCAGCCTCTTCAACCTTCTCCTTGCCCTTGGCCCCGTCTTTCTTATCGCTTACTACATCCTTATCTTTCTTCTCTGCCTCCGCAACACTCTTGTCAACACTTGTTCCCGTCATCATACCCTACTTTCCGAATCTACCTATATATGTGTATAGTTATGTCACAGTCACTATATAAATCACATATACTGTGTGATATGTACAACGCTAGCTAGTAGACCTATACTCTCCAAATATGTTCGTGTGTCAAAATTGATTTGTTATCTTTTTGTGTTTTCTTTTGTGTCGTCGTCGTCGTATACGAATTGTTGAGTTTGAAATGACAATTTCCTAATGCTATTTTTTTTTAAACACAGTTGTACCGCACTGCACTGCTGATAACAGGTTTTTTCTCGAAGTGTGTAGAGGTTTATTTTTTATATTAAACCCGGTTGATCAGCTTAGAAAAAAATGATCGTTTAGGGCAAAGGGGCCGTTAAAATGAATTTTAGAGACAACCATAAATATTTTTCGGACATCCTCGTAACCAGACATTGGGGATAAATAAATACTTGGCAGTCATACCAGAACGACACGTGAGTGACAGCCCCGCCAACCCGACTAATTGTCCACTACCGACCACGAATAAACTTTGGCCGAAATTTGGGTATGCACACGTTCACGCGATGTAATATTCGGAATAATTCTAAAATATTTCAATAACTTCACAAAATAGTCACCCAGACCGTGTAGCCGAGCCTTTCTCACACTCTACGTTCACCATGACTTCTAAGATAGTGAAGCCTGCACACCAGGAAGCTGATGACTTCGAGAAGTCCATCGCTGCGGTACGTATGCGTGACAGTGTAGACAAAGTTGAGTGAGAGAGAAACGATAGATATACATAGATAGCCATAAGCAATATCATGATTGAATGCCTATTGAATACCTGATATTCATCGAGCCCAAAATATGCTAGGCATACTATGACACGAAAAATTCGAATTCAGCAAATAAGTAGTAAGCTTAGGCATCCTAGGCAACATGATCAACAAACAACAACCATGGAACAATATATACAGGCATAGCAGTGCAAGGTGTCGGTGCAAGCAAGCACTTTTTTGTGTTTGTGTATAGTACGAAGATGCACAGTAGCATCTTCGTTATACATATGCAGTTATAAATTTCAGGCAGTCTGTCATCGTAGTTAGCATGCATTCAGTACTTTCGGGTAAAATACACGAACAAAATAGATGTCAATTTTTGTTCATGTGTACATGTATCTATGTATATATATGCATATATGTGTATGTGTACATAGCCACGTATGTATATACACATATAAATATGTACGTAGTGAGTGTATATAGGTACGTATGAATATATACATTTATGTTTTATATACAAACACATATGCATCTATATGTGCGAGTGTGCATTTAATTTTTTGTGTTGTATGCTGTGCCAATGTGCTGTATACGTATAATTGTGTAACCCTGTAAAAGCATATTGGACCGAGTGCAGGCTTGCGCATATTTGCGTGCCAGTTGAATGCTATATTTGCACGCACTCAAAGAATATGTAAATTCGGAGTGTTTGTTGACATTCAGTTGGACGGAAGTGAACGCGTTGTGATTGCGTCCCAGTATAGATTTCTGGAGTGACCGTTAACTGATAGTCATGAACTTCCTTTAAAATGTATACGTAGGCTCTAGTAGATCTTGAGGCTAATGTCCAGGAGCTAAAGGTCGATCTTCGTGAGGTATACATCACCTCCGCCAAGGAGGTTGATGTAGGTGCCGGAAAGAAGGCCATTGTTGTCTTCGTGCCCCCACCACTACTACAGGCCATGCACCGTGTCCAGGTTCGCGTTGTTCGCGAGCTAGAGAAGAAGTTCAGGTATGATAATGTTATTCATGTTGATTTTTTCGTAGTTCGTTTACGACCGTGACACATTGGATCGTGCAGCAGGTCCTGATGTACATTTATTGCTGATTAGTTTTGTCGGCAGGTATGTTTTACCTTTCACAAGAGTATGCAGTCCTTACTTTCCAATATTCGCAAGGACCAACATATATACGGAAATATCGATATACATACACACCCCTCTCATGCAGTGGCAAGCACGTCATTGTCTTGGCTCAGCGTCGTATTCTCAAGAAGGAGACGCGTAAGACACGTTGCACACAGCCTCGTCCCCGCTCGCGTACCCTTACACACGTACATGATGCCATTCTTGAGGATCTTGTCTACCCAACTGAGATCGTCGGCAAGCGCACCCGTGTAAAGACTGATGGCTCCAAGATTGTCAAAGTGTAAGTTTTGTGCACGATTGTGGTCAGCGTTAGTTTTCTCGCTACATAGTGAAGTTTATGGATTTCATGTACGTATTGCTGTTGTGTCGTTTGAGGTTAAGGTAGAAGAGACGGTGAACTGCGATAGTTCGTGTAGCATCGGAGCTGCATTAAGGTGGTTAAAGTGGAAAAGGTGATTGTGTTTCTGATTATAAGTTTAGTGTCCATGATCCAACAGAGATGGTATATGATGATGAATACGAGATAGCAGAACTTTACTGTTGATCAAAATTGTTCCTTCTGAGTCCATCAATGTTTTGTACCTCGTAATATAGTACATTGATATCTTTGTTGTTTATGTATGTGGTGTGTGTAGTATGCATCAAGTGGTGGCTGTACCCGTATTAAGTAACTCGGCGTGTAGAACTGTTTCACTGACACTGTTTCTCGTGCATCCAAATCGTATCGCAGACACCTTGACATGAAGGATCAGAAGGAGGTTGAGTACAAGCTGGATACTTTCTCGTCCGTGTATAAGCGCCTAACAGGAAAGGATGTTACTTTCGAGTTCAAGCCCTCCCCCTAATTTAGCACAGGGAGACTAATGGTAACCTTATAAACATCGAGTTCCAGATATGTACTCGGATTGCTTTTTTAATTTGCAATTCGATACGTTACCTTTGTTTCTATCGATCAATGTGGCATACTTGTAACGGGGTGTTTAATTTGTATTGTACGCCTCTGTTTGATAGTTAACCCCAACAAAATTTATGTAGTGACTTTGTGAATATCATCGGAATCTGATGCGATATATCCGATCGTGAGTTGTTTGTGTGATGTCCTACTCGCTGCTGACTGGTGCTATGTTTAAAAGGAGATGCGAGTTATGTGAATGATATGTTCCAAATGTGCTTTGTTTAGTAGTTGAGGTGCTTTCAGTCTTGATCCATGATATTTGCTTGAAGCTGGTTTTTGACAAGGATCGGGTGGTAATATTTGTGTATCCATCAACAGTTGGCGTTATGCTTCTAGTTTTCGAGAAGACCATATCGTTGTGAGTGCTGCGGGCTGCTTGACTGTATTATACCCCACGCCGCAGTAGTCTCTAACTCAGTAAGAACCAGTTGGTGTGAAGGGTCAGAGTGTTATTTACAGTTATAGCTCCAACACCTATATGGTGTACGAAATGGTTCTCGTGGGATATTTATTAGTGTGGGTAGTTACCGTGGTTGATTTTCTGACGTTTCAGATCGAAGTGTTGTGCGGTGTGTGATTGTTACGTGAACGGTAGAGCTAGTCGATGTTATCTGGCAGAATGCGATTTCAAACTATGGTTGTCGGCTGCATAAAACCTGCCTCAAATGTTAGGTGTAGGTTCAGTAATGGCTCTCCCAATCAGTGAGGAACCAAGTCTTTGGACATGTATGTTGTTCAAATTTTCCCGGTGGGATTGCGTGTCCTGATCATATTCGGTATGAAATCGGTTTTTAGATATCGCATTACCCGTGGAGGGGGAGCAGTAATGAAAGAAGCTATGTCGCGCAACTCAATGTACTGTTTGCTAGCAACAGTCAATCATAATACCTGCCGTTTGGTTAAATGGAAGTAAATGTACCGAATGGAAACGATGGAAGTATTGTATCACAGCGTGCTGGCCACTGTTTGATAGACTCTGGATTTTAGTATGTTTTGGAAGCAATAGGTTTCCTTTGGTTTATAATATGTTTGACATTGCGTTGATTATTTATGCTGTGTGCCGAATTTTTACTGTTAGAGTACAGAGAACATTCTCCCAACCCTGATTTAAACATCGGTCGTGATAGATTGTTTTAATAACATCATTCGAACGAAATAGTCGATGTATATAATATCTATTTGGGATTTACGTCACATGTTTAATTTAAATATTCGTTTCAGCACGATATTAAATACTTTGTTGAAATGCGGGGCTTGTTACACGAAACGACGGTGTATTTTATGAATGGTGGCTAGCTTTCTTATCCTTTCTGCACAAATAGCTTTAAACCCTACAGCCATTCCGACATCAAAATCACATTGCCTTGTATCGATTTCACTTTTTTATGTTAACTCTGTCGTGTGCCAAAGAAAATTTGCAAACTGCACAAAGAAACGCGGCCTAACAGTGTGTTGTCCAACTCTGTTACATAATGTTATGGGTAATTTTGTGAACCTAGTTAGCGAAATGTACCTAGGTGTTTTTGCAAACATATTGAGTGTCCACTACATATAGACAAAAACACATATCTCGTTTTTGTATGATGGTGGACAGTTTTTTGTGGCTTTTTTAATCAATTTTTGTGCTATAAATCCGTTGTACCGCCATCAACAACATATGTAGTTTGAAGTGCGGGCGGTATTTAGTGGTATACCGTGACTCTCAGCAATTACAAACCCATACAACCCATCGATGTGAAACTAAACGGATACCTTGTTGGAATAAAGTTTCGCACATACACAATCAACGGGTGATATGCCGTGACTCTCAGCAATTACAAAACTATATAACCCATCGATGTGAATACTGAACATGTGAAATTGAATGGATACCTTGTTGGAACAAAGCTTCGCACATACACATTCAACGGCTAGTACATAGTAGTATGCCGTGACTCTCAGCAATTGCAAAACCAATACTGAACATGTGAAACTAAATGAATACATTGCTGGAACAAAGCATTGCACATACACAATCAAAATTGTTGTATATGCTGTAGAAATCCTATCACTTGGTTTTCTATCTTTCAAAAGCTGTATGTTTTGTTAATAAACTTGGGATAAGTATCAGAATTACAGCTTCCACTGTAGCGGAGAGGAGATATCTACGATTTTGCACGGATCTCGACAAACAAACCTAATTTTACCGTCAACTTAAAACTGTACTGGAGACGAACGCGGGCTGAGAAGTACTCGCAGTGGTAAACATATCAGGTTTCGAATTTTCTGATTGCAGTACAGAATTAGCGGAATGTATATCGAAGAATGGGATTGTATTTGCGCTGAAGATAGGCTTTTTTTTGTATTATTCCGAAAAAAATAAGCTTGGAACCCTTTGACGTGATGTGTTCATTGTCGCATGTCGTACTCTCTATTTTGTTTACAACATTAAAGAGTTGACTGCCGCACGAAGTACTTACGAATCACGAACAGTTAGAGATGTGCTGTAATTTTGACTGTACAGTCAAGCACTGTTCTAAATTTTAATTGCCTGAAGGATCATATTCGAGTTGTAGACTCTTGACGCAGGGATCTTGTGTGGTTATTTCCGCTCGACTTGTAGGCTTACTTCTTGAGTTGCAGGATCACTATAACAGCTCTCACATAAATCATATTATCTGTGAAGATGCTTCTTTTCGATCAGTTGATACAAGGATGCTATAGGCTGTGCAGAAGGTAACAGAATTCGGCCGATGGTTCTGAGAAAAATTTTAGGGAGGAAATAGAAATAGGCGCACCTGATTTTCAAGTCATGTCGTCTCTCTCCAGTATATAGCCATGGTCGATTATATTTGCACGAGATTATGATTGTGGGCTTGATTTTATGTGGGGCATACGTTGGCACGCTAAATCTAAATGATGGTATCCAGATACGAAGAATGTAAATTGATAGTCCACACAGTCGCCCGTGAGGAGACCGTATATGCCACTATTGGCTTGATTCGAGAATTTATTTATACAAGACTTGAGTGAAACAGACCAATTTTCTTCACCATCGAGCATTTGACTTCACTCGTGAACGACCTGGTATAGATATCCCCAGGTACGACCTGGCTGTTGACGAAACCTCACTGAAAAAAAAGGGGAGAAGGGGGGGCTGTCACTGTAGCCAAACTCGTCCGCTTGATGTCCATATAAAGGGAAGTCCGACATAGCTAGTCTCGCTTAGTGACTCCCTGCTGACTGGCTTGCAATCGATAACATGGTTGAACCCGCCCGTTAAAGCAAGAGCCTCGGCTGATGCAGACAAGGACCGCAACTATGCAAAGCTAGGCCCGCAATCATATCACCAGATAGTGGAAAGCTGAAGTCACGACCACTAGAAACAGCGATGGCCCGACCCACTAAGACATTTTTTCAATACACTGTATGAGAGCGATTGATACTTTCATCTATACCGACTTACAGACTAGGTTCTGTCTTTCCCCTTTGTAATCTATCCACCAAGTTTGTACATTTCTCGACATAAAGTAAAAATGGCCTTGCTTGATGACAGTTAATTAAACGGTCGTGGGTTGTCCCGAACCATCTATAGCTCCCATAACTGTGACTCGCTCTCTGCTGATTCCAGTTCAGGGCCCAACCTCCGTATTTGGCTCAACTTCAATCAGCAAACGCTTACACAGCGGACAAGACTGGTTAATTCTCAGCCAGGCATCGACACATTTTCTATGGAAGTGATGATCGCAAGGCAGAGTTGATAGTCGGACGCCGTCGACATAGTCATTTAAACAGATACAGCAGCTTGCGTCGGCTTTATCATACATGCCGTACTTAAACTTTGTTCGAACTGTCTTTCTCTTGATGACCTGTGCAGACATATAGATTGCCACTATAGTTAGCAACACATAAGCTTGCTAACTAACATCAGTAGTAAAATGTAATGTACTCTCGGTCATTGAATATTCGTAAAATGTCGGTTTCAGTATATCTTTCTAGTAATGTCAATCGACAAGTGATATAACCGTTTTCAGCTTTCTCATGTATACCGATGGACAAGCCAAAAACATACCCCATCGGAAACTCCGTTGTTGTTCTTCATGAGTCGAATTGCTAGAAGCACAAAAGGTAAACAGAAGACCAGGGACAAACAGAGCATCTGATGGTTTGTGGGAGAAATTATGAAAATGGAAAGCATCAGTATCAGATTTTCTTGGACCATCGACAATCGAGAGTTTGAATTCAAAACAAATAAGTCCCGCAATATGAACATTCCAAAGTGTACCATAAATGCCAACACCAGCGATGTTACCCACATGCAGACTCCCAAATAAAAAGAGAGATGCTATAGACTACAGAAGAAAAATAATAATAATTGGGGCATCCCGCAAGTCAGTAGAACCAAACTGGAAGTGAAGTCACAGTCAAAAGAGCGCTCGTTTGCACAGCAGACTTACGAAAGGGATGAGCAAGTAGATGTACGAGAAGATGACCAAGCAGAGAGCAAGTATGTATACTGCCGAACCCTCACATCCCGGGCTATCAAACAGCCAATAATTTCCCACGATAAACCAAACCAGGAGGGTTACCTCAAGTACTGCATGGAACCTAAAACGAATGCACATAAGCAAACGTTAGACAATAATGCAATTGTACCGAAGAAAGACGTACTGACAAAACGTTATTTAGAAAAACTACCACTAGAGTTGATATCACCGACCAAGTGGCAAAAAGCGACTCGGTACCAACCATGTTAAACATAGATTGTTAAGCAGAAAGAAATGCAGATACGGAGATACTACAATCACAAATTTACATGTGCCGGCTCGATTGTTCTATAACGACGAGTCTATCTTAGTCCAGGTGCGATAAAAGATCTAATCATCGCAGAGTGATGGTTTTCCCGAGCGAATAAAAACAGCTGGCAACACCACATATCAACCGTAAAACCATTGAAGTACCTGCGTATTTGAATGTTATCGGGCCTCTTATACTTGGCAATCTTGAATACAATAGCAAATGCATTCCGGATACCTGTGATGCGATTGAACCAACATCCATGAGATGAAGGGCAATGAAACTGATATTCCATACAAATTCGTCACGTATACGATGGTTTCGACTATAAAACAAAATACGTTTATATGGTCCTCATCGCATCATCACCTACCAACGACAAGGCACCACACTTGCAATGGCGTGTCGCAGTCATTTCTGTCCCAGTGTAATGCTAATACGACTATGACAGCCACAATTTGAGCGGCCCACATCAGAATTTCCAGATATAGGAGGAACCTGGGCATAGCGGGATAACATTGTAGATAAATGAGCTTCCAAGATATAGAAAAATCATACAACAGCAAACATCAAGCCCTTTGATGGAGTATCCGAAGACGAAAGAGAAGTCAAGACATTCATGGTGTATATTCACGTATGCTTCCACAGAATAGCAGGTCGTGCACAGCCCAAAGAAATGCAACACACCACCCCACCAGGTATCAAGAGTGCAGAAGGATATAATTTGAACACGATTAATCAACAGCAGCACAACTCAGCCCACAGTCGCGCATATAAACAGTCTGCAACCGCATATATTAAGCAAAATTCAGCACAGCCTATACTCGATAAGAGAACCCGGCCAAGAACCTTACTTGACAAAATAACTTCTGCGCGCGTGCTCGACGGCATTGCTTCGGACTTGGGTGGCGGGGGTTTCCGCGCCTACACCTGTAGTCACCATAGTGCCTAGCGAAACGAACGAAGACGCACGTGTCAAGGGCTGGGTTGATGGCGCAGCCTGCGAAGAATTCAGCCATCAAATGTTCATAGAAGAACTCCTTAGGACTAGCGCATTGACAATTGCGTTGGGTGGACAAACAACATGCCGCAGACAGATTGATAACATGCGTTCCATATTTAGAATAAGTAGCGAGAGTATTTGGAAACATTGATCACCATACATACACGTGAGCGAATTCAAATGCATAGACACCACAAGCTATATACCACGAGGGCTCACCAGCAGATTGGCAAAACGACAATAGATGCCTCAAGTCCTGAGCTGATAGTACTCCTAACAAACGAACGCACATCATTTGATTCAAAGTCAACAGATATACCACAATACAATCAAACGTTCATATGAGCTGGAGTACAGCATGAAGATCGGTAATGTTGACATTTTCGATACGGAGACTCACTAAAGGTAAAACATAGCAAGTGACGGTGTAGCGATACACTGAATATAATAATAGAAGTCCAAACGAAACGTGAGAAATAGAAACCGACGTTTGAAATCCACTAAAACAATTGCTAGAAATAGTAACAATCCAACCTCCCATCGATATAAACAAGAAACTGCCTAAACAGAAAAGACATACGTGGGATGGACAACTAACGATAAGTAGTCAAGAGCTAAACAAAGCACATCACCATCACAGGCAACTACTCACGAACACACTGATATCTCATTCGTGTTGGCGATGTTGAGCCGCGTTAGACGATGAAACAAGGCTAAACAACGCTGGAGCCAATATTTTGACAAGCCATGCATTAATTGAAACGAAGAATCCGACAGCTGAAGAACAACGACTATACTTTGTATAATATAACTGCGACCAACGATTAAAAACATTTACAGCACGAGACACGTATCAATCGATATACAAGGCAGACGTGGAAACAGAAATTATGCGTTAACGCACTAATACTCCCAGTACAGAAGAAGCTTACACGCCCTACATAACTGAAGTCTCGATACAAACAAGCCACGGAATAACAAAGAATATGACTCCGACAGCACGCCCAAAATTGAAAACCATGTTTGGTGTGTACCAAAATTGCATCCAACGAAGAACGCACTATGTTACCAGACAACAATCAACAATACTACCGTAAACACACGACAATCAGGATCAGGCAACGATCGAACTACTGCAAGCAATATATATACAGTACAAAGATGAAAGCACTTCAGAGACAATATGAGGTGAGCAAACGTGCCATGTAACAGGCAATCGGGAATGAAAGATTTATTCTACATGGTCTCTACCGCACGGTTTGCGAATACTGAGTTCTTGTTGCTCATCAAAGACTGTATCAGAAACACACAGTCATAACAAACGTACATCACCACAATTTGTAGAAGGAATCTCGATCAAAAGGGGAATAGAACATGACAATGCAATATAAAACACACATGTACCACCAGACCTACCGGGCCAGTGGCCGTGCCGATGCTATTAGTGGTATCATTGTCATGGTCATCCGATACAGTCTGTGGTTGTGTATCAGATACACTGGCCGCTTGGGCAACGCTATCGTCCAGCGAAGCGTTATTATCTATATTTAACACACACGCAGTTATGTCATCGTCTATGTCATCGTTGTCTAGATGAGCAGGCCTGTCGGGTGAACAATCCTTCCCCTTCTGCGGGCTACTCGCCGACGAAGACGCCATCCCAAGATAGCGAAACCCCTACTTTATTGCGAACTAGTATGGGGATGTAATATTGGGTGTCCGCAATAAAGATATTGTGAGTCCAGATTTATGATAGTGGTAATAATGTGTAATAATGCGCACACATGTATATACACATACATATACATCTATATATATATACATGTATACATGTACATATACATATACATATACATATACATATACATATACATATACTATATATGTATTTATATGTAT